CTTCCTGGGCGGTGTGGCGGCCTCAGAATCCCAGAAGGCATCGTACAAGGTGGTGTAGCGCTCTGAACTAGGACTGGCCCAGAGTGCGGTGACGTACTGTTTAGGATCCATGTTTAGAAATGTGGACGACGATCATACGACGAGAATGGCGGGGAAGAGAACGGAAAAGGACGGACCAGGAGGCCAAATAAAGAGGATAACGGGATGATGATGATGATGCTGCTGCTGCTGATGCTGATGCTGACGATGCTGATGATGTTGTTGTTGTTGTTGATGATGATGATGATGATGATGATGATGATGATGATGATGATGATGGGGGCAGGGAAGGGGTGAAAGGAGGCGGAGGGTTGATCTCCCGCCTGCCTCTGCACCTCCAAGCCCAAGAACTGGCAGAAACGCTCGAAGTTGAGCGCGAGCTCGCGCCTCTCAGGGCGGGTTTTTCCCTCCCCACCCCCTCTGTGGCTCTGTTTGGAGCTCGGGGGAAGAGGAGGATGGAGAGCAGGAAGATGAGGGTGAGGAGGAGCAGGAGGAGGCTATAACGCCGGCAGGGGCTGCTTTCAAAAACAACCATTCAGCCCGATAGCTAGGCAAGGGTTTGTCGATGGGTCTCAAGTGCATCTTCGTGACCCTGTCAGCCCCTTTCCCCATTTCTCCTCCTCCTCCTTCTCCTCCTCGCCTCCCTTCTTCACCCCCCAGCTTCAGAGGGAACTCGCATGTGCAAGACTTCAAAAGTCATGTTCGGGTGGCGTGTCCAGAACGTGGGCGGCCGCGCACTCACGTATGTATCTTTACAGTATATGTAGTATGGCACGGATAACAATAACTGTCTCTTTAGACGTGCTTGGGCTCGGCAAATTCTGACTGTCGTCGCGCCCCCCCCGCGAACACTTGCCACTCACGGCGCCCCGACGCTCTTCAGGTCTAATTACGTGCCTCGCCAATCGGCTTGAATGTTTCAAATGTTTCCGCGTGGCTCTGTGTGTGTGTGAGGTCTGCGGAGCCATCCGTTGAATGGGCCGATGTTTCACACCCAAGTTGACACTTAGATGTCAGTTGGATCGCGGGGAGGCGTCTACTGCTTGTGTGGCGCTGGCAACTTTGCATGCGAATGCAATCTTGCAACCTCTGAATCGAGCGTGCACTCCACGTCCCGTCTGCCCCTCCCCTCGCTTCCCTCTCCGTCTTGCACGCGCCCGCTCTCTCGCCCTTTCCACCGACGCCACCCGCGGCGAGGCGGCATAATGCCCGACCAGGCTTTCGAGGTGCGGGGCGTCCAGATGGGCCCATACCCTGGGGCCTCGGGGTGGGCAGATATCCCCCTCCTCCTCTAAATGCATGTGGGTTCGCTACATGTGTGGGCTTTGCGTCGTGATTGCCTTCATGGCTGTGCGCGGCAGCGGAGGATGAGGAGGGAGGGGAACATGAGGGAAAGGAAAAGGAGGATGAGGTGGAGGGACGAGGAATCAGAACTGAAGACGGTGGATGATGACAGAGGGGTGTGAGGGGAAGGAGAGATACTGAGTGGGGGAGAGAGGAGGAGGGCAAGCTTGGTGCGCTCGCGCATCGTCTGACGTCCTATCCCTCCCTCCCATCCTTTCCCATGGAGCTGATATTTCATTCTCCGCGGACGCGTGCCATAGCCGACCTGCGACTCCCACAGAAAGACCACTTCTTGGTATGCGCAATCGGAAAAAGAGGGGAGCTCGTGCACGGGAGGAGGTGGCGGGTGAGCAGGAAGATGAGCGGGAGGAACAAGTAAGGATGAACAGCAACAGTAGAAACTAAAGCGGAAGGATCGGGAGGAGAAGGAGGGCCAGAGAAAGGCGGAGGAAGGGAAACAACTGGGGCGACAACGATGAAGAATGACTCGGATTTAGAACATTGGCCCGCGCTGTGGCGAGACGAACAGCAGCAGCAGGAACTGGAAAGGAAGGAGCGGGAGGAACAGGATGGCCGGGAGAAGGCGGAGAAGGGGAAATGAGGGGCGGGGCCACAGTGAAGCAAGACTTGGATCCAGAAAAGAGGCCCGCGCTGGGGCGAGAACGCCATTCTGAACTACTGGAGCCAAGCGCCGACCTGAAATGAGGCCCATGCTCAGCGAAAATAATGGGGTTGAAACAAAAAACATCAGGCATACAAACTTCCGAAAGCCTGCACGTGAAACAGCACGCGGAGGGGGCTGGAGATCTTCCGGACAACTTCAGGGGAGGAGAGAACAGTAGTCAACATGTTTAATTGTATACGGGGGAAGACGAGGAGCCGGAAGCGGAGGAGGATGGATAATGCTGTTGTTTTAGGCGAAGCTCAACCACCGCGAAGACCTCACCCACAATCACTGCAAGCCACGACAGCAAAACTGCGCCGCAGCGCAAGACAAAGGATCGCGTGACGGCCGGCGAACTCACGAGACAATGAACACAGGCGCGGGCCCAAATGCCACCGTTGTACAACCCACACGTCGAGACGAGCGGCGAAGGGCGAAAAGGGAGGAGGAGGGAGAGGAGGAAGAGGAGGAATTGGAGAAAGAAACGCCGGCGCCACCGGAGCGGGGGCAAACACTGCGAGGCATACGCACAGTGTGTATGAACCCCCGCTGACGCCACGGCCGGTGGTACCTCACACAGAAGCGAAGAAACGATCAGCAGAGAGGAGAGAAGGAAGAGACGGGGCGAGGGAGAGAGGACAATAGTACAATACGTTCGCAGCCAACGAGCTCCACGTGCAAGAGTGCATGAAGAGAGAGAGAGAGAGAGAGAGCAGACAGTAAGGCCTGCAGCATACAAAGCTGCCACCTGTACAGGCAAGGCAAAGATGTGGTCCTTTCGGACGGGGGCGCAGAGCCGCCCGCGAACGCCCTTGAACATCAAGGGGCGGCGGAGAGCGAAGCCCGCAGCCTACGAGAAGCTGCGGGGTCGGCAGTCCGCGGCCGCGAGGAAGCCAGGTAGGCATGCCTCAAAATACCAGCGGACACGGGTTAAGCACAAGGACGTCTACGGGAGGAGGTGGCGGAAAAGCCGGGGTCCACGCGAGCCTCTTAGCCTGGTGCGCCCAAGGCAAACAGACCCTCAGAAAAACCTCCATTCCGTGCTTCTCGAGGAACCCTTCGTGCTGCTCGTGGTGCATACTCGTCCTAGTGGTACCCGTCGTACTCGTGTGACCGTCGTGCGGCTCATGGAAGATAGGAGGCTGAGAAGGATAAGATAAGAGGCTGAAGAGGACAAGGAGGACTAGAGCAAACCTACGATGCGTCAACAATGCTGCGATACAACCTCACGTCACAAATCACCCCCGCATGAAATCCAATAATTCTACCTTCTTTGAACGGCGAATGCTATGCTCGATCGGCCTGCCATTCAAGCGGGAGCCCCGTGTAGAAAAAGGACTGCCTTGCGCATCGCGATGCGAATTAGTATGGCCATGAAACCAAGCGACATGTCCAACGATAACCACGTGTTGAAAAACAAGCCATCCCCACCAGGTAAACTGTTCCTTACACATCTGGTCACTACATTTGAAACAAGGTCACCAGAGCTTGGATGTTACGGTCATTGAATTCGAGTAACCTTAAACAAAATAATATTCCCACACTGAACCGTCTTGGACCCCTGGAAGCCGTCTTGGAAGAGGCTCGGGGCCCCCTTGGGCCGCTCAGGGGGGTGTCTAACCTCGCTCGGACGCGGGCTTCGGCATTATTGGAGGTTTCTGGGGACGTCCAGTAGCCGTTTTGGGAGTGTCTTGAGCCATCTTGGAAAATTGGGAAAACGATAAGGCGAGACTCTCTCTCTCTCTCTCTCTATATATATATATGAATACGTGTATCTGTATATATATGTATATATATATACACATGTATATAGATATATCCTCGAACATCCCAAGAGAGACGCATGCTTTTTGCGCCTCGGGCCTCATAGGGAGCCATTCTAAAGCTCTCGGGGGCCTCTGAGGCCGTATGAGACGCCTCCGGGGCCGTCGGAACCCCCTCGAGGCCGTTTTGGGGGGCGGCTCGGGGCCCCCATTGGGTCGCCCGGGGGGCCGTCCCCGGCAATAGTCTGGGAGCCCGCTCGGGCCGACCAGAGCCCTGAGGAACCTTCCGCGGCAGGCCTCGGTCCGTGTGCTCCCGCGGCCCCTGGTTTGCTGCGGCTCGGGGCGCCCGGGGCCACGTCTCTGGTGCATGAGAGAGCGGCGTCCGCATAGCTGCTTGTCGCCCTCCTGCAGCAGGTTGGTTTCCTGGGGTGGGGCGGTCGTGGCGAAATGGGTTGGCTGCGCATCGTCTCACCGATCCCTATCCCCACTGGTGTGGCCTGGACCCCACTGGCCGATTTGCCCCCCTAGATGGGGACATAGGCTGCTCCCTTCGGGTTTCGAAGGGTATATCCCCAACTGGGGGCATGACATGGTGGGGCTCCAGACGGAAATGGGGATGGGGATCGGCTAAACAATACTGATTGGCTGGATGGTGCGAGCAGATCTCTGCGAATGCTCTTGGCGAGGGCCTCTCAAACCTCCAAGTCCAGCAATGCCATGGTGCGCCTTGCGGCGTGTGCGCACATACAGTGGAGGTCAGTCCACAAGAAAAACCCTCCACAAGAAACCCAACCCTGAGACCCCAGGACGTCCACTGATTTTTGGTGTTGGAACGGCACGCTATTGCAAAACTATCGAAACCCAAACCACCCAGGGCACCCTGGAGGCAAGCAGGGTGTTTCTTGGCATGGGTCTCCACCGTACGTTGTCACACGTGTGGGGGCGCCTCGAACCCCTCTCAAGGCAAGGCCCCGGCTGCCAAGGCAGTGCGAGGGACAAGCCTGGGCGTAGTAATTAGAGCGAGTACATACTTTACAACGATCCTGAATACTGGCCTTGACCACTGTTTGATGCAGCTCACTGGTCCCAGATAGCGAGCATATTTTTCAGTGCTCCTGAAAGAAGGAAGGGGGAAAGATGAAGAGGAGGTGGGGGAGGATGAGGACGATGAGGAACAAGAAGAGGAAGAGGAGGAGGAGGAGGCGGAGGAGGACGAGGAGGAGGAGGAGGGGCGAGGTCGAATGAGGGAGGTACGGAGGAGATGGGGGGAGGAAGGAGTGGGCTCGTGCCTCAGGACAGGATCACTTTTGAACTCCATCTGGATTTCAGGGGCCAAGATCGGGGAGTTCGCGTTGAACTCCGACATCTCGTCCGTGGGGAACATCCACTGGACATAATCGTGAACCACCTCCATCTGGTAGAAATCCCACGCGCGAATCTCCGCCAACCGTCGGCCAACATTGTCGGTGCCAGTGCCGCGAAAAAACGGTAACAACTTCTCTGTGGCGTTCCCCTGCTCGGGGACCTTCTGACCCAGGTCAATGCAAACCCGGGTCAGTCAGGCCGTGCACGCTCCTGCAGGATCCTGCACCCAAACCCGGGTCAATGCGAAGGATCCTGCAGGATCATGCAGGATCCTGCGCCCAAGCCCGGGTCAGTGCATCCCTGGCCCTGCAGGATCCTGCAAGATCTGGCGCCCTGGCTGACCCCCGTTTGCAGTGACCCCCCGTCTCGAGGCTCCCGACCTGCCCAGGCTTGGCGCGAGCCGGGGGCGCGGGCAAGGGCGGAGGCGTCGGCAGCGCCTGCTTGGGGCTGGCCTCGCCGCCCTCGCGGGCAGCCGCCCTCCCCTGCTGGGGCGCCGCGGCCTCGGAGCCAGGGGCGCCTCCCTTGCCGGTGCTCGCGCCCCCTGCGGGCTCACGAGCGTAGGTCCAGAGCAGCCCAGCAGAGAGGATCCCGATCAGAATCGTGAGGAGCACCACCAGGACGGCGGACGTCCCGCCCGCCTGCGTGTCCATCGTTGCGAACACCCCGCCGGTCTGGGGGGGCGGCGACAGTGGGCACCGCCTTGGCGCATCTGGCTTGAGCCGTGGATGCTGTAAAACCTGCAGGCCGAACGTTTTTTCTCGAGGATGACGACCAGGAAAGGAAGCTCGAGAACTTCGCTGCCCCCCAAGACAGCACTGGAGGCCGAATGTGATGATTGTGATGGCGATGACGGTCAGGACGCTGTTGACGAGTCCAAAGCCTACCGTCCACAGTGGGCGAGTGCCATGTGCATCTGCCACCTTCCGGCAGAGGGTGTCCGATTCCTCATGCCATTGCCCTGTGCCATCAGAGAAGTTACCATGCGCAGCTGGGGCGCAAACTACACGCTGTAATGCAAGCTGAGGCGTACATCTGAATCCGAACAAGCGGGCGAATCGAGGAGAAATATGAGAACTCCCGCATCAAGATAGTGTTGATCTAGCTCCGTGGCATAACACCATCAACTCAGTGAAGACCGAAATGCATCGAACAACTTCAATGAGAAACCGCAGAGTCAACATCTGCGTCCATGACTTCACGGGAGTTCTTCGATCACTGCACTGCGAGGAAGCGCCCCAAAGGCCCTCCAGAGGCCCCCCGTGAGGTTTACAAGAGGTTCCCGAAAGGCACCCTGCGAGATCCAACAAAGCATCCAAGAGGCCTCTGGCCCACAACCTAAGCATAATTGCGGGATGAATCCGATGCCACTATGAAGCGTCCCAAGCCGATACCTAATGCAATCACGTCGCTCCTGGGGAACACACACGTTCGAGTATGCCCACACGAGGTTGCAAGCTGTCCGTGCGCAAACTCTCGGGAATATGGAATAGGCCTTGCTGAAATCCAACATGCCTCAGCTGTCGGACAACACGTTTAAACAAGAAGAGGCCGTGAACACATAAATGATCAATTCGATATAACGAAACACGTCCAGACAAGTTCTAAAAACGAGGCAACAGCAGAGCCAGGGGAGTAACGTCTTCAACAGCATTGTGCTACGCTTTCCACCCGCACCCACAACAATTTTAACCATGCAGTGATCGCGCCAACGATGCATGCACGTGGATTCCATGGTGCGGATGTAGGGGACAGGACGTATGACAGATGATGACGACGGCAATGGCGGTGGGAATACAAACGGCACGGCAAATCCTGAAATCCTGGGCATGCACTCCAGGCCTGTATTGGGATCACCAACCATCGCCAGAAATCACGGCCTGGGATTTCTGGTCTCCGCCAAACGGTCCTGGTCGTAGGATCCTAGCCATACGGTCTCGGCTTGTATGTTGTAACTCCTGGCCGCCGCCATAAAGTTCCGACAATCAGTTCCTTGCTTTTAAGTTGGGATGCTTGGTCAGGTTTGGTTGTTCGGTCGACGCAGGGGGTTCCTGGCCATAGAGGGTCGTGGCAACCTTTCGGCGTCGCCGCGCTGGCATCATGAGGAAACGACAAAGTAACCATGGAACAGTGGCATCAAGATCTTTTCAAATGTGATCCCATGTGCATCTGCGGCAGAAAGCACGCAACTATTGGGACCACATCGTCGTTGGCGTCTGCTCCACGTGCTGGTTCTTATCACATGAGCCCTTTCAAGCAAGTTGTGCAAAGAGTCACTTCTCTCTCGATGTCGCTTCCCACTTCAACAGGCCAGCCCTTTTTCGCCCCCAGAGGTGCCCAGCCCAATGCGCCTCGCTGCTGGAATTGTCGCCCTTACGTAGTGGGTTCCTACGAAAGCGTCCACACGCAAGCCAAGACCGCATGGCCAAAACCCTATGGACCTGGCCAGATACCCGACCATACTAGCCAGGACCCGATGGTCAGGCAGCTATGGCGGCGACTTGGGACGGGGGCATCGTGGCGGCTACTGGACAAGCTAACATGCGGGCGGTGGCCCTCTGACGGTGCACCTGTGTTCTGGTGGTGGCCAGGGGAATCTCAAGTCTGGTGAAACCCATCGGGATGAGTCCGATGAGACACGGACGTCACGCCTGGGACACACATTTCCTGGCAATGGCAAGACGGGGAAACCTTCAACCTATGTATAATGTTCACGCTGTGCCAATGGGCAATCGAATCCACGTCTGGACGCATCTAGCTCCGGATAAGCATGTGCGACGCGGAACGGTGCGCAGCCGAACCGAATCCCCACAGAACTTTACGTACACGTCCAACGTATCAGACGACGCCTTGCCCAGACCTGACCCGACCCAGGTCAAGCACACCTGGGCCTCTGGACAACCCAGCATCACATCATGACGAAGTACAGTGTGGAACAAATGAAGCAAATAAGACACTCGAGCCCACAATCCCCCATTACATTGCTGCTGTCACATAGAAGTAATGGCGCATGTCTGCAGGGGCTTCCACAAGCAAACAAGCCAAACACAGCCAGAATACCTTGTCCTCGGGCAGAAAGGTACAATCGATACAACTTGGTCCCCCTCTAAGTGCGCGTGTCGCGGCGCCCGTAATCTGGTGAGCCGCTGGCAATCGCACTGGAAAACAGGAAATCCTGCTTGTCTTTACCGCGCAGGCCGTTGACCTCACCAACGCCGCCACTTGTGCAATCGCGCTCTATGCCCATTGCCCTTTCTCTCCCACGAAGTGGTCTGAAGCGCGCTGACACTCTGCTGCGCAAAATACTCCACACACGCGCCAGTCCTGCTCATAATTGTTCTGACGTTGTTCCTACCCTTGCTGCTGATGCGGTTTTGGTGTGGCGACGGCGCCGCTGTAACGGCTTCTCCTCATCGTCCGATCTGGGCCATCTCGCTCGCTCCCTTCGCGCGCCGAGCTCTCCAACAATCGCTTGTGATCTTTCTCGGCATCTGCTACTTCCCCCCATCGAGCTCTAATGCACCTCCATCTCGCGCCTCGCGCCGGGCAAAGCGCGATGCCCCTCGCGTACTCGCGCTCCCGCGCCGCCCACTCGGAGCAAGGCACTTGCCCTGGCCTAGACCGCGACGCCTGACGCGCGATCAGCTTCGCGCCCCCGCGGGTGACCTATGTACCGTCATGGCGCTGCCAGTAGGAACGCTAAATGAGGACCGACGGGGCTTTCCTGGCTACGGTTAGGTCGGGCATGTCCCCCTACGGGCGGATTTTGCACGAAAAATTGGAAAAAGTCAAACAACTAAAATGCCCAACAATACAACAAAACTGTTCCCCAGCCTATTTGTTGATGATTATTGGATATTCCTCCTGTAGAGGGACAGGCCCGACCTGAGGCTGCGGCGAGCCTCGGCCGCGAGCAACTTCCCCGACCCCCAGACCCCAGGAACGGCCTGCAGAACCCGGAGCCCCTCGGGAGCTCAAAGTGGTGGTCCTCTCCTTCGGGGATCTGCTGACCCGGGTCCCGGGGATGGACAGAACCCCCTTTAGTAAACCGTGGTTTCGGGACAACGACCTCGGGCCCAAACTTGGCGGGCGCGAGCCTGGAAGATGACGGCCGCGGCGCCATCTCGAGAACCGAAAACGGACAAATCACTAATCGACGTTGTCAGGGTGGGTTTCTGTCCACCCTCGAGGGTCAATCCCGACCCGGGTCAGTCAGGCCGTAAAGAGTCCTGCAGGACCCTGCAGGATCCTGCGCCCAAGCCCGGGTCGGTGCGACGAATCCTGCAGAGGGTCCCGCGCCCAAGCGCGGGTCAGTGCGACCCTGGCCCTGCAGGATCCTGTAAGATCGGGCGCTCTGGCTGACCCCCATTTGCATTGACCTCCTCCTCCTCCGCCTCCTCCTCCGCCTCCTCCTCCTCCTCCTCCTCCTCCTCCTCCTCCTCCCTCGTGCCGCGATGAGGAGGGCCCCCCCCCACCGCCGCGTCGCGGGCCCGTGAGCGCACTACTCGCTCCCCGAGGCACCCCGCCTCTCCCCCCCTCTCGCTCCTTCCTCCCCTGCTGGCGCCCCCCCGCCGCCTCTCCCGGGTGGCCTTTTCCGCGAGAAGCGCCCTCCCTGGAGATCCGACGTCGCGACAAACGTTGAAACATCGTACGCAATCGCGACCGGAGCCCCCCTGACCCCATCATTCAGTGCAATTTTCCGCGCCGGATCGATCTGGGAAGGCCTCGTGGCCCACACCTGGGCAAACACCCCCGGCTCGCAACAGTCGAGACGCCAGGACCTCAGCGCCCCTCTTGCACCCCCCCCTCCCGGTGCCTGTCGCCGCCTCCCGCCGCAGTGGCCTTCCTCCCCCAACCGTCCTCCGCGCTTCGCATACTCGGGCCCGCCTCGCCTCCCTTTTCTCCGTCCTCGCGCCGTCCCCCTGCCGCTGCGCTCGCGGATCCCCCCCCCCCGCCGCCGCCCGCCGACACCAGACCCCTGCCCGTGCCTCCTGGCCGAAAGCGGGCCTCTCTGTGCCCCCTGCCTCCCCGCGCCGTCTCCTGCCGTGGTTCCTTCCCCCCCCCCCCTGTGCGCTGCCAGAAAGCAGCCCCAGCGAACCGACTTCCCTGGGCGACCGTCCATGGGGGCCAGCGTCGCTCCGGCTGGGCCGGGGCAGGGGACGCTCAGCGGCAGCGGCGTGAGGAGAGAGACGATGATGATGATGATGATGATGATGATGATGATGATGATGATGATGATGATGATGATGAGGAGGAGGAGGAGGAGGAGGAGGATGATGATGATGATGGCGGTGATGATGATAATGATGATGATGATGCTGATGATGATGCTGATGATGATGACGATGATGATGATATGATGATGATGACGATGATGATGACGATGATGATGCTGCTGCTGCTGATGATTGATGATGATGATGATGAGGAGGAGGAGGAGGAGGATGATGATGATGGTGGTGATGATAATGATGATGATGCTGATGATGATGCTGATGATGATGACGATGATGATATGATGATGATGACGATGATGATGACGATGATGATGCTGCTGCTGCTGCTGCTGCTGCTGATGATGATGATGATGATGATGAGGGAGAAGCGGAGGACGAGGAGGAGCACGAAGATGAGGAGGGAAGGGGGGCTGCCTGACCGAGAGTAGGCCATCCACCCGAAAGAGGGCGACCGTGCTGAGAAGATGCCACGAGGCCGACATGATGCTGTCAGGGTGGGGGCGGATGTCGAACGGAGGACGCGTAGGAGGACGACCAGTAATAGGACGCATTAGCTTTAGCGGGAATAGAAATGGGGAGAGCACTGGGGGTGATTCAGTGGATCGTACGAGTAGCCGTGGTGGTATGGAGAGGAGCGGGACGACGACGACGATCAGTGGGAGGTAGGCGGGTGAAGGGGAAGAGGGACGAGGGAACAAGGAGTGATAGGGTGAGAGACAAAGAGGAGGAGGAGGAGGAGGAGGAGGAGGAAAAGGAAAAGGAGGAGGAGGAGGAGGAGGAGGACCCGGGGACGACCGACGACGGCGGGACGACAAGGTCGCGCGCGGGCAGCGGCGGCACAGCGGCAGCGGTGGCGGCCAACCGCATCAAGGGTGGCGAGAGGCCCGCCGGCGCGGCGAGCGGCCCACCGAAGGGAGGGCTCGGCAGAGAGCCTTGAGCTCGCTGACCGAGCGGCGCCGCTCTCGGACAACACAAGAAACAGCAAAGTCATGACCGAGGCCGACGGACCGCAGAGCACGGACGGGGAGAAGGCCCAGGGGGAAGACGAGAGTGCGCCGGACGACACCAGCATGCAGAGAGCGCCGCGGGAAGCGCTGGAGGCATGCCGAAAGGACTCCCGAAGACAGGGCAAATCATGTAACGTAGCACGCCATCCCCTCCGACAGCGTAGTTACACCGCCTGCAAAGTTGGGTGGATCCCCGAAAACGCCAGGATGTGCATCAACTATTACAAACGAGCCGGAACGATGCGACGAACATACAAATCGTGGCATGGTGGGCGAGCATTCTAAGAAACATGAGACAATTGTATATCTGGCCGTCTGTCGGGGGGGATCCGTGAAATGCGTAATTTGCTTTCACAATGTAAAACGCGCGCTCAGAGGCCCCTCGGAACTCAAGAAGCGATCAATCTTCCTCTGCAAGGGTTGGGTGGGTGAGGGAAGCCTGGGCATAGAGGTGAGCTGCTCGTATTTGCCAATGGGGGCCAAAGTCGTAGACGCACGGGCAAGGGGGCGTCGGCGCCATAGGAGCACGCAGTCATCGTCTTCTGCGAAAAGTTGGATTTCACGCCGCCGCAGGAGTGAAGGAGGCCGAGCGGTGGGCTAGACAGAACATCGCTGCACGGCGCGTGCATTCGAGGTTTCTGATCTGGGCGGGCCCTCCCGCGTAACTCAGACCTCGGAGCGTGGGCGTTGGGGTGGCACGTCTGGGCGCGTTCGTCAGACCCTGGCCAGCTTCCCGCGGCCTCGACTTGGCGAGCTTGAAAGATGAAGAAAACAGCCGACGAAGGTGAGGCGCGAGAAACTGCAAACGTTGAACCGTGCACTAATTCGGTTGAGACCGAGGAGCACACTTTTCACGCTTCTGGCTCTCCCCAGCCATCTTCCTCGCTGGACCCCCCAACTCAATAAGTTGCCATCCGTCCGAGAATCAACCCGAGGTGCGTGGCAGCGGTGGCAACGACATACTTGTCCGCGCGTATGTCGGGCCCCCTGAGCTTGCTCTGCGATTCGCTCGAGGAAGGCCGGCTGTGCGGCGCCGCGATCGTCTTCTTGATGCGGAGCAACAGACCTGCAGCCCCTGCGGCACAGAACCATCAGGATAATCGAGAGCGCCCTGTCGATGTCTCTGGAAAACCAGCCCAACATCGTCCGCGAAGGCTCGGATGAGCCCTAGATCGCTGGGGATTTTGCCACGCTGCAAGTCGCCCTGGGACTCGGGTCGATGGCGAGCGCGAAGATCGATCCAGAAAGCGGGCATCCCTGCTTCACTCCCCTTCCTGGCCAGAAGTGATTCCCCTTAAGGCGCCCGAAAAAGATGTCGAACCTGACTCTCATGTAAAGGACCTTGACAACGAGCCAAATGTGGTCGGGCACATTCATGACGAGGATGGCCCACCGGATCATATCATGAGGAGGCTGGGGAAGACCGCCTTCGCGTCGAAGGCAAGAAATGCTGTATCCTTCTCCATGTGCTGGCAGTGCCAGGTCATACCTTTGGCTTCGATGTTTAGAAAATTGTTGGTCATGGACCCTGTCTGGATATCGCTGTGCGCTCGCTGGCGCGTCGAGCACGCGGGGGCATCATCGCCGCGGAGACGATCTTAATGCAAGTGTTGCTGAGAGTGGTCAGCCTAATATTCGGCCGAGCGGAATTCGCCAGTGCCAATCGCGTCGGAGGTCAGTTCCCCATCGGCTAGGAAGACCGCCATCCCGTGATGTAAGCCCCTTCCCAAGGAGATGCCCGTTGATGACAACGCAATACACGCGATGAATGGGCTCCTGAAGCTGGGGGCCTCCGCGGGCCCGACAGGAATATGGAATCCCATGTGGCCCCGGTGCGCCATCGCGAACCCGGGTAATGACGTTCTGAAATTTGCGGAACTCGAGAGTTCCGTAGATCCCTGGAGGGCGCTGCTATACATGGGGTCTGAGAAGTCCCCGTACACGTGGATTTCACCCCAATG